AAGATGTTTTCATTTATTAAAACATAGTTTGTCCACCTGCAAGATCTCCAGTTATGTATATTGAACTACTTTCCCACTTGTAAGCATTCACCATAAAATAATTCAGGTTTTATAGGGGTATGGTTTCCCTACCAAACCATCATGAACTATGGCAAATACAATATAAAGAGTTTCCCTCTGTTCAACATTTTCTTTCCTCTCTAGAACTTGCAAAAATTCAGTTAATTTCAGAAATTTCAGAAACAACAAGACTATTTTGCTACATAAAGATAGACAGTATATAAACATGCTTGATCACTTACAAAAGATTGTCTAAATCACTGGTTAGCAGAAATGATGGTTAAGTGCAAGTCTCAAATTTTATTACCAGGTACATATCCTTCAATGAAATTACTATTTGTTTCATCCCATCACTCTCACTTCATGTTTTTAAAGACTGTTATCCCAAATTTCAAACGAACTATGAGCGTGAACAGTTTCAGAAATTGATTTTCATAGGTCTTGTTATAGGACTCACATTTTATAACATAAAATCTGATGTTAGAGTAATGAATTCTGTAGACTTCTTGGTGGAAATGTTGGGTTGGAATAGTACACACAGAATTCTATACAATTATCTTAAATGACTAGAGTTTCTGAGAAAAACATTTTCATTTATTCACTTGGTCTTAACCCATAATTGTAAAACATAGCTAGCAAACCTTTTCTTACCCTCTCCTGTTCTTATTTGCTCCGTATCCAACAGAAGCCCCTAGGTCATAGTTTATGCTCCTGTTTTCATGAATGCAAACAGAATGATAGGGGAGGAAACCAAAAAGAAAAGCTAACGAACACCACAGAAACTTGGAACTGGCACTGAGAAACAACTGCATACCATTATGGGAAAGTTTTGTTCTTACTGTTTAAGGCAAAGTCGGATGACAAGGACTGTATTCTCTATCAGTGAAACCACAGCACATGATTACACCTGAACAAATACAGCTGAAATCCAAGAACTCTTGCTTAACTGGCAGGTGTAAAGGTTGTTTTTTCTTTCTTCCCCAATAATTTACATAGTGGTATGTGTGCCAGGAAGATTACTGCTGGAGAATACAGTCCTTGTCATCCGACTTTGCCTTAAACAGTAAGAACAAAACTTTCCCATAATGGTATGCAGTTGTTTCTCAGTGCCAGTTCCAAGTTTCTGTGGTGTTCGTTAGCTTTTCTTTTTGGTTTCCTCCCCTATCATTCTGTTTGCATTCATGAAAACAGGAGCATAAACTATGACCTAGGGGCTTCTGTTGGATACGGAGCAAATAAGAACAGGAGAGGGTAAGAAAAGTAACTTTACAAACAGTCCTTACA